GGAGGCAGGCAACCTGACACCAGTCCAAGGCTTGCTCTTCACCCCGCACTTGACTTCTCTGCCCTGGGGGATCAAAGACTGACTTCGCTGTAACCTCCTCCTCCCCAGCAGCTCTGAACTCCTCTTCATCACGGCCCCCTGCACTCTGGCCAACCATCACAGCCACAAGAGATGAAACTGGATCTACCAAGTTCCTTCCGATAGCCCAAAGGTCATCTCAAAGGTCATGCCAACCAGCCCCCTGCCCCTAGGTACAACACTGACTTACCTGCGCTCACAGACACCTATCACTGAGGTAAGAGATGCAAAAACACCGCCTCAGAGCAGCCACCCTTCGTGCACCTAGGGGTTTCCCTCCCATCTAACCTCGATTCCTCCTGCTGCAGCGTGGGCCTGTTTCCTCTCAAGCTGTCCTGTGCAAAAACAGGGGGAGGGGGAGAACAGGATTCCCCGCCTCCAAACCCTCCTGTCTGCCCTCCTGCAGCAGAGATGATGAGGGCAGGGTATCCCAGGGTGGCTGGGCCCTGAGCCCGGTGCGTGTGTGGGGCACGAGGGCTGCGGTGGGGAAGCAGCCGCCTGTGTGGGAGAAACAGCTCTTCTGGGAATTGTCCTTCTGACTCTTCATCTCCTGCAAAATCCTGCATCTCAGGGTTAGGGGAGGGCCTCCTCTGGGTTCAGAGACATCCATTCCCTCCCCATACCATTTATTGACTGTTTATCATGTGTCAGGCACTGTGCTGGACATTTTCACCTATTATTTAAGTTTCACAACAATTCCGTGGTCAGAAACTAAACTGCCCCCCTGGTCAGTTCCTCCCTGAGACTAAATCTAACCTTGATCCCTCTTGCTGTGTTTCCTCTGGCCCCGCCCACCATGGCGGTGGAGGGGATTTTTGCTCCTGTCTTCAGAATTCCTCACCTTACTCAGTGGCCCACCTTATCTTCTCCTGGCTGCCAACCTTTACCCCAGACTTGCCCCACGTGATGAGTATTATGGGGGTGAAAGGAAATGAGGCAGGTTGGGGGCTGGGATGCAGCGCACTGCCCCGTGCCAGACACAGAGCACATACCAGGTGGCAGGGGAGAAGGCCCGTGAGATCAGTCGGGGTAGACGGAGGTGGGTGCAGAACTGAGAGCAGCAGTTTCTCCCTCCCTGTGACCCTTGCAGGGAGCACCGCGCCTCACCTGTGGTGTGCTGGCCAGGCAGGGCCCAGATATGCGATGATCCTGTTCTCAGTGACCATCTCTCAGGTCCAAGTTCCAACCCACACATATCCAGAGCCCAGGGGCCTGAGCAGAAGTGGGCAGGGCAAAAGACGGCAGGACTTGTCCTGGACTGTGAAGCTGCCTGTCTGGCAGCTGAAGCCAGAGGAGGGACTCTTACACCTCTTACACCTAGCTAAGCTCCTGGCGTCTAGAGGTGCTCAGGCCCTGACCCCTCTGCCAGGCTCAGTGGGGTTTCACACACCCCGTGGTAGCCACAGGCAACCGTAGTGAATTCACACCCACTTGGTTTCACTGTTTGGACTTTCTAGAGCCGGAGTGATGAGGGTAGGGGTCCCCTCCACTAGGGCTATCCCCCCATCCTGCCTCTAGGACGGCTGGAGCACAGGAGCCACCTCCCCAGGGAATTCTCAGGCCTCACCCGGCTTCCATCCCTCTGGGAGATTCCAGCAGTGACAGCCTGGGCCAATGGGCAAGGGGAATTGGAGTGGTGGGTGGGGCTCTGGTCCCCGTGGGCGGCACCCTCCCCCTTCAAGCAGGCATCATTGATATATGCAAAGCATATGCAAATCACCCAGAAGAGAGACACAACAACGGTGGAATGTCAGAAGAGACCTTGGAGAGGAGCCAGCCTGTGCCCCCTCATTTCACAGGTGAGGAAAGAGGCCCTTGCGAGGAAGGGACTTGCTCAAGGTCACTCGGACATTTGGGCGCTGAGGCAGGATCCTAACGAGGTCTCTTTACTCAGTCCAGTGCTCTTTCCATGACAGTCCTGTCTTCCATGTGGGGGGGCCTACAAGATGGTGAAGGGGTCACAGGGCCTGTAGGGGTTCCCTTGGACCCTTCCCTTCCTCCTGTGAGCCTGAGTAGTGGATGTGGGGGAACCATGGGCAAGGGCGGCGATGATGCCTGGACAGTGGGCGACCAGAGGTGTGGAGGGGCCAGAGGCCAGAGGCATTGGTTTCCGGCAGCCAAGGAGTAGAAGGCGGCAGGAGAACTTGAGTGTCTGAAGCCCAATGTCAGGGCAAGGTGCCCGCTGTGTGCGGGGAGGGGGTGGCGCCCTCACTACACACATCTCTAAGCGCTCAGAGGCCCCCTTCCGCCTGGACTCTGATGACTATGACTCCTGACAGACCATAATAGTCAACTCAGGCTGGTCCCTTCCGTGGCTGCAGCTCCTTCCCTCCCTCCAACCAGCTTGGCTTCTTAACCTTCCAGACAGTCCTAGAAAGCAGGACAGATGCTAAGGAAAGAAGAGAGACAGGTATGAGGGGGCAGACAGACAGAAAAGGGGAGACTAAGGAGCAGAAGGGGGAGACAAAGAGGAGAGACAGCGGGAAGGGCAGAGGGAGAAAAATGGAGGGGCAGGGATGGGGGGCACCAGGGGGGGAGAAAGTGGGGGGATCTGAGGAGCAGAGGGGAGAATGTGGGAGCAGTGGAGCCGAAGGGGGGGCTCCCAGCCTCTGGAACTGAAGGACAAGGCTGGAGCCTGGGCGAGGGGCATAGGAGCCCCATCGAGGCCTGAGGCTGCCTGGCAAGAGTAGGGGACCAGGTCCCTGACCCTCTGCCCACCTCCCCAGCAAACACCCCGGCTGGCTGCCGGGAAATCAGTCCTCCCTCTTCTGCCTCCCTCCCTGCTCTCCTTCCCTCCCTCCCTCGGGCCAGGCAAGCGCTGCTTCCCAGCCAAATCCAAAGCCTTCATCTCTGCTTTTCAGAGCTGGGAATGAAAGAAGGGGAAGCAAGTTCAGCCCTCAAACCCGCTGACGGCCAGATTTTTATTATCTTTGCTCGAATGGGCCCTAGGAAGCCAACAAGGGATTCTTCAAAGAGCATCTGAGTGGCTCATTGAAGCCTGCACCTGCACCAGCCCACCCACGATGGGCAGCTGGGGCTTGGGGCGGGGGCACAATCTGTCCCCCACCTCCCACCAACCCCAGAGACCAGATCGGAGGCTGCCTGGAGCCTCACCCTTCGTTCTCTGTGCCTAGGCAGGGGCCGCTCGGTCAGGCAGCCAGGCTCAAAGGCTAGACCCAGGCCCACTGGGCCTCTGAGACCGTCTCTGTCCCTCTCTGGGCCTCGAAGACACAAACTAAGGAAGAAATCGGATCTCCTTGCCAGGGCTTGGAGGAGATAAGTGCTTGGGATTCCTCGAAAGCAAAGCTTTAATGGCAAGCTCCAGATCCTTCCCCTGAAATCTCTGCCTGCCCACCCAGTGGCCTCCCATCTCCCTTCCAACCAAGCCACCCCTCCATTCCCGAGCCCCAGGCCCACTACTCAGGACCCTCAAACCCCAAACACAGCTCCCTCAGGTCAAACCCTCAACCTCGTCTCCCTTCTTTCCCCAAGACCTAACCTGGGGTGGAGATGGGGCTAAAACAGATCTGGTACTTCAAAGAGCCTAGCCCCCTCCCTCCTAAGCTTGGGTTTTGTCAGAGAAAGCCAAGGTTCGAACTGGGCAGACGGCAGCCGCGCCACCATCACCCCCAGCTCTGACCACACCGGTGAGATCGATGCTCACAGCCAAAGAAGGAATCAATGGTTCTAATTAAACCTTTTTTCCAGGGTGGGTCCCTAGCCAGAGAGAGAGAAAGAGAGAGATCATCTGGGGCTCTGCATCACAGCACCCAACTCTGCCCTGTACATATGTAAGAAACATGGAACCCTGGATTCCCAGCAGGAATCAGGCCATGAAGACCCCAGACCCCATCCCCTCCGCGTTAGGCAAGGAGGCGAGTGGAAAGCATGCGGTGGGATCAAAGCTCCCAATGGCTCATTCCCAGGGACCCTTCCCCTAGAAGAGCTCCCCGTCTCCACTCAGCAGTGCCTGAGACCACAGTTGCTTCTTCCAGATCTCCAGAGCACATGGGGGACCTGCATCTCCATCCCGGCCCTGAGGGTCATCACAGAGAACTGGCCAACATGGTAAGGGCGGAAGGAGCAGGGGTGGGGGGAGCACTGGACAAAGACCCTCTTGTCCCCAAGGCGCAGTGGCAGGAAGCCAGGGCAAAGCCTTTGCACTTGCTGCCAATGGTGCCTGGGTGCCCGGCAGTCTGGGTGGAGGGGGGAATCTTATTCTTGGAACCCCCTCCTGTTATGCTCCATCCCTTGCTTCTATGCTAGGCCACCAGCTAAGTCTCTGCCCCAACAACTCCCAGCTTGCCTGGAGCCCTCCTTCCTGTATGAATGCCGGACCCTGACACTTGCCCACAGTGGGCCCAACATCAACTAAAACCAGCAAAAGACCTCACACGGAAACCATAACTGCCCCCCACATATGTACACACGCGCAACCATGCCAGAAACCACCACCATCACAGCTGCCACCAATGATGACAAAGCCCCACGTTTTCACAGTGACAGTCTCCATCAAAAGCATCACCAATTCTTTAAGACCAGCAAGAAGGATGGGGAAGGGAACGAGAGAAACTGAGGCACAGAGTTAGACAGCAAAGCAGTTGGCTCAAGGTCACCCAGACCAAGATATCCAGAGTTGGAAAGAAGGCATCCTATCCCCACCCCAAAGTGCTCAAACCCAACACCAAGGAATATTCAGACCCACAAGCCTGGAAGTCTGGTCATCTGCCCCAGACTCCCAGCCCTTATCTGTTTCCCCCTCCCCCAAACAACAGTAGCTCCAACATCTTCTGCAAAGCTCCAGTCAGGAACCCACTTCTCCTAAAGTTGGGGGCTGCAAGGACCTCCTGGTTCCCTCGTATTTGGGAAGAGGGACTGGCAGTCCAGGATCTCCTCCTTGCACACTCCCTGTCCTTGCTCACCTGGCTCCCCTCGGCCCCCGGGGTCCCTCGGTCCAGCCTCCTCCCTGGAAGATCGGGCGCTGCCCTCCGCTGTCCTCTCCCACCAGGCCAGGGCAAAGCGCCGGAGGCACTGCCAGGGCTGCATGGGGAGGGGTGGGGCGGAGGGGCTCGCACCAGCAGCTGCACACACCCCGCCGGGCCCTGCCAGCCGAGCTGCGGAGGCACCCGGCCGGCCCCCTCTGCTTCCACCAGCATCCTGCTGCCCCCACCGACAGGACTCGGAGCTGGCCAGGGAGCTTCTGACGTAGCAAAGGGGTGCGTGGGAGGGGGGGGGTTTAGCGCGGCCCCTCCCCAGCCCCGCCCTCTGCCGCTCAGCCTCCGGCAGTCCCTACTTCCTCATTCACCCGAGATGCTCTCCCCAGCTGGGGGCGCCCTCCCCTGCCCTCTGGCCTCTGCAAGGGGAGGGCTTAAGATCAAATGGCCCCTCCCCAGCCCCTCCCCCTCCCGCCAGCCTAGCGGGGAGCGGGTCCCCAGTCCTGCAACTGCTGCTTAGGCTCCCAGGTCTCCAGGGCTAGGGCCTCGAGGTGACTGGGGAGGGGGGTGCGGGGAATACAGGCTTGTATCCTGGCAACACAACCAACCCCAGAATACACTAATCCTCTTCCTTCCCTGGGGGGCGGGCGCAAAGCGCCTACCACCACCATCCAAGGGCGTGCACCCCATTCTGGGACCTGGGGGAAAGAGGCCTTTAATGCTCCCACCACTTCTCCATCCCCTTCGCCTCCCCCTGCATCCTCCTCTTCCTCCACCTCGGATGGACCACTCCCCTCCTCCGCTCTCCTCACCATCCATCCCCCTTCCTCTTTTCTCCCTCCCTCCCCCCTCCACATAAACCCCTTTAAATTTTAACCCTTCGGGCCCCCTTCCCCGGGCCTCACGAGGCCCTCCCCACCCGGTCTCCAGCCTCGCCAATGCAGGACCCCCTCTCTGGTCCCAGCACTCCTCTCGCCCCGGTCCTTCTCCCAAGCCCGGAGCGCCGCGGTCCCCTGCCCCCCACACACCTGCGCCCCGAGCATCCCTCGCCCCGTCGGCCGCCGCCTCCCCGGCCCGGCCGCCGCCCCCGCCCCCGGCCGAGGGGAAAACACACAAAGAAAACAGAAATACCTTCCACTTAAGCATGGAGGCACATTAGGAAGGAGAGAGACAGGGACATGCCTTGGGACGGAGCGTTCCCCATCGGGCGGGGGCGCGGGGGGCGGGGGCCCCGGGCCGGCCTGCCTGGCGCTCGCCCTCTCGCCGCCTCGCGGGCTCCTCGCTGGGCCCCAGCCCCGGGGCGCGGTGCCAGGCGGGCGGGCCGGGGGCGCGGGCCCCGCCGGGGTGGACCAGCTGGGAGGGCGCCGGCGGCCGGGCGTGTGGGTGCGCGCGCGCGCGGGCGTGTCACCGAGTGTGCGAGAGCGAGTGTGTGTGTGTGTGTGTGTGTGTGTGTGTGTGTGTGTACGCGCGCGCGCGCGCCGGCGCGGGTGTGTCACTGCGGGCTGGAGCGCGCGCGGCGCGAGCACGCGCGTGTGGCCTGAACGTACAAAGGGCCGCCGGGGTGGCGGGGAGCAGGGACGGGAGGGGGCCGGCGCCTCGCGCCCTCCAGCTGCACTGCGGGACCCTGCAGCGCGCGGCCGGGCTTGGGGTGCGGGGAGCTCTCACGCTCCCCTCCCCGCTGCACCTGCTTCTTCCCCCCAGAGCAATCCTCAAGCCATGACAGGGACTAATGCCTAAAGTGGGGGCCGGCATCGGAGGAGGGGGTGCACCTCGAGGGTGCGGAAACTTCTCGGTCTCCTAGTCCGTGCGCGCCTTAGGATGGAGAAGCATTCGGGGACGGACGGGGCAGGGAGGGACTGGGGGACTACTCTTCAGCCAAGGTGACCTCCGGAAGCCACAGGCGTCCTATGCAGGGAGAGTCTGGACCCTCCTCTGCCTGTGCCGGGACGTCCCCCTAGCTGTCTCCTTAGACCCGGCTTAGCCAAGGAGACCCAGTCCCACGGCGCCCCCTGCTGGGCTGTCTCCTTGCCCCCAGCTCGGGTGGCGGCCCCTCCTGGAGGCTTCTGCTGGAACTGCAGCGGCCCGTGCTGTGAGTGAGGGGAGTCGGCCAATCGGCTAAGCAGGACTACAAAGGAGGGTGCTCCAGCTCCTGCCGCTTCTCACACCTCACCTGTCGACGCCATTGCCACCTCCACCGAAGCCTGCAGAGCGCCAGCGCTGCCCCACCCCTGCCTCACTCCCACCCCGTCCCTGTCCCACCTTGGCCTACCTGTTGGCTCCACAGACTTCTCTGGGTCGCTCTGTCCCCTCCTCCTCCTGTCCTGGTTGCTTGCTCTCTCTCTCTCTCTCCGGTTCTCTGTCCTGTCCCTTCTCTCCCAAGCTTCTCTTGGAGAGGGGAAGGTCCCCTGCCCCTTTTATTTACTCCCGGCATTCCCAAAGCCAGCTTAGATGGGCAAGAAAGGGGCACAGCACATCTCTTCGCTATAGGCCACCAGGTAGAATGGCAGGCAAGCATAGGGGCAGGAGAGGAGACCCCACCCCAAGTGGCCCAAATGACAAACCGGTTTCCCCACTTCCTGGTCTACCCAGTTGCAGCCTTAATCCAAGCTCTCCCACTTTCCTTCCCACCCCCCACCCCCCACCCCCGGCCTGCCCTGAGCCAGCCACATGCCTGGCTCGGGGCAAGTCTGATGCCCCTTAGAGATTAATCTCCAGTTGCAGTAACTTAGGTGACTGGGCCAGGGTAAGGAGAGGAGGGGCCCTTCCCAGCTCCAGCCGGACAGCTAAGGAGGGCAGCCAAGAGCCGTGTCCTGGACACACCGTCTGGGCACACGACCCCAGCAGTTGGCACCCTGACTTCTTCCCTCCTGGGCCAGCTGCCTCTCCCTCTGCCAACTGGATGGTGCCCATCTTTTGGCCTCTGAGTGTGCTGTGGGCACTCATCCAGCTCCCTGCTTGGCTGCCTGCCCAGGATGGGCATGGGAGGCAGCAGGCCCTGTGTAGGGGAGGGGTCGGCAAGGGGGCGGGTGGCTTCCCCTCAGCTGCATGGACACCAGTTCCCAAGCCTCTCAGAGCCCAGAGGCTGGGGACTCTCGCTGCTGGTCCTCCATCCGGGCCCCCAGCTCAACCACGCAGGATGCTGCCCTCCCCTCCCCCTCAGGTCCCCTGCCATGAGACAAATTCTCCTCCCTTCCCCACATTGTGCCCACCTAAGTGGAAGGGTGTCAGCGTGTGCTTTACCCATATTCTCTAATTTAATCCTCTCAAAAACCCTGCGGAAGTGGCTGTTTTCAGCCCCGTTTCAGAGAGAAAGGAGTTGAGGCTCAGAGAGGCATAGCCACTTGCCCAATCTAAGAATAGCAAAGGTGAAATTCAAACCCAGACTTGCCTGATTCCAAGGCTCCCAGCCTCTTTTTCTATCACCACCACCATCTCCTAACCCAGTGGGCTGCCAGAGGCAGGGGCCTAACTCTGATACACATCTCATGACCAGAAAGTAAAGAAAGAGGGTAAAGACACAGTTAACGTCAGGGTTAGGGAACTGGGCATTAACCCCTGGATGATGGCTGGAAAGATGCTTGTCCTGTCACATGGAGGTTTTTCTGGCCTTTACGCTAGATGCCAAGAAGCCACGGGCTCGGGGACTTGGGGAGGGAGGCTCTGTGACTTAGCCCCCAGACACTGGGAATAATTCCAGATATGACATCAGTGACCTCCTGCATCACGAACGCCCCCCCCATAGTTAGAAGATTAAATCAGATTCAGGTAACATTTTTTATTTGTGTAGTTCACTTGTTAGAGACATAGCGTAAGCATTTCTGATCATCTTCATAGCTATGAGCTCACTTGACCCCCTCCTCTCCTCAAAGCAGGACAGCGGCCTCCATGGGTCCGTGGAGGGGTGAGAAGGGATACAGCTCCTGAACAGGAAGCTTGGGGCCCTCCCCTGAGGCCCAAGTTGAGCCAGAGGGCAGATGGCCTGACACCAGCCACCCTCACTGACCCCACTCAATCCTCTGCCCCATGCCCCAGGGAAGATAGGTGCCTCGCTCCCTCCCACCCACCCTCTACCTGATCTCAAAAGCCAAGCTCCTGGTGTAGGGAGGAGGCTGAGGAAGTCATCTCCTCTGATCAGGGCGAGGGAAACACAGGTATTATTTCTTCAGCCGAGAGACCAGAATTGCTTCTGGAAGCTGGCATGGTGCCCGGGCACAAGCAATGTGCCAGCTGTCTCCACCTGAGATGCCTCAGGTGCCACCCTGCCCCCACTCTCATTCCTCAACGAGTAACTTCCCTCTGGCCTTTCTCCCCTGTATCTCTGGCATTGCGCTTGATTGGGAGGGGGCTGCTGGCTTGTTTGAGGGATTGGAACAGCAGATTGTTACCCACCTTGCCACCCACCTTGCCCTTCTCACTCCATGCATCCTGCTCACCTTTTCCTGGGAGCCCACAGGAGCGAGGTTATGAGGGAGAGCCCTAGAGGTGAGAATTCTCAGCCTCACTGCTCCTTCCCCAAGGGTGTTTGGAACAGGGTTTGCGCATGGACAAACATCTGGGCAGGAAAAGGGAGATGGGGCTGATCTCGGTTCCCCGGCCAGAAATTGAAGCCAGGCCACGGCAGTGAGAGTGCTGAATCTTAGCCACTCGACCACCGGGGACCAGTGGCCAATGACAAGGCCCCTGGCCCTTCAACCTTGTTAGAAATGAATTCCCACAAAGACCAAAATTAGTGAAACAAGTAAAGTGTTTATTAGGAGGAAAAAGAGTACGTGTAGACAGACACACGGGCTGACTCAGAGAGAGTCACACCAGCATGGTAGTTTGAATCATTTGTATGGGGCATTTCTTCTGGGTTTCCTTCGGCCAATCACCTTGCTTTGCCTGGTTCTGAGTCCGTATTGGGTTTATGTTAGGGTCCTCCCATGTGTGCGTGCACCTCTTAGCCAAGATGGATTCTAGTGAAGAGGCCTATGGGTGGGTTGACATCACTCCCTTTCTGACCTCCAAGGAGCCTTTCCGTGCATGTGTAGCCAGGAAGTTCTCCTTGACCTTCAGAACGAGAAATACATGGTCTCTTTATCTCTTATCTGGGTAGGGCTCAGCTTTCTCCTCTGTCCAGCTGCTCAGCCTGGGGCCCATCTATCTCCCACCTCAGGGCCTGGGGTGGGCAGAGGGGCACATGGGCCTCTAAGGAAAGCCACAGGGGAAAAGGTGATGTGAAAATGATACTGGGACACCCCAAACGCTCACTCTGCCAGCTCAGAGTCCCCCACTCCAAATCCTCGAGAAGGCACCCTTCCAGGAGTGTT